TAAAGAGTCCTCTCCTGCTGATGTTCAGGTGTGTATCAGTATGTGGTGTCTCTACTTTAAAGAGTCCTCTCCTGCTGATGTTCAGGTGTATATCAGTATGTAGTGTCTCTACTTTAAAGAGTCCTCTCCTGCTGATGTTCAGGTGTATATCAGTATGTAGAGTCTCTGCTTTAAAGAGTCCTCTCCTGCTGATGTTCAGGTGTATATCAGTATGTAGTGTCTCTACTTTAAAGAGTCCTCTCCTGCTGATGTTCAGGTGTATATCAGTATGTAGTGTCTCTACTTTAAAGAGTCCTCTCCAGCTGATGTTCAGGTGTATATCAGTATGTAGTGTCTCTACTTTAAAGAGTCCTCTCCTGCTGATGTTCAGGTGTATATCAGTATGTGGTGTCTCTACTTTAAAGAGTCCTCTCCTGCTGATGTTCAGGTGTATATCAGTATGTAGAGTCTCTACTTTAAAGAGTCCTCTCCTGCTGAAGTTCAGGTGTATATCAGTATGTAGTGTCTCTACTTTAAAGAGTCCTCTCCTGCTGATGTTCAGGTGTATATCAGTATGTAGTGTCTCTACTTTAAAGAGTCCTCTCCTGCTGATCTCATACTGCCTGTGCTGCAGCACCTCTTTTCACCCTCTGTCTGAAACCAGAGCCCAGTCTGCTCTGATTGGTTAGCTGGCCGGCTCTGTTGTGATTGGTCAACGGCTTAGAGATGTCCCGCCCCTTAGACTGCTAGCCAATTCGTCCATTTACATGCACGAAAGCCTATATATTACACACTACAGGAAAGGGCCTCTTTAAAGTTCACCTGAGAGTCTGATGCTAAGTGAATAACATCTTGTCCGTCATGCCGGCGCTCTCCCTCACAGAAATATAAGTAGCTTTCATACGTGCTGCAGGTAAATGATATGCAGGATTTAAAAAAGCTTAAGCTTCAGCAAATTGAAGCCCCTGGTGAGCGGCTGGTGTTCTGTCGCGGTCAGCTGAATTAAAGCCCACGGCTACACTTTGTTCCACTTAAAGGTAAGGGAAGAAACTGTGTGCAAAGTAATGGACGAAACATGGTAATTATCCTCCATAAGGCATGGTAACACAAGCATGTAACAACTGCTTTCTGACAGTAACACCCCTTGAAATGCGCTTAATCTGGCAGGAAATACTAAAATCACTGCTGTAGCGGCCCGTCCACACGGCGGCGTGCGTTGAAGCTTCAACGCTTCTGCCCATTCACTTTGAATGGGGTGACGTCACGCTTTGCCGAACTGCATTGTGGTCGCGTCGCTTTGCTCGCTTCAAAAGTTGAGCAATGTTCAACTTTTGAAGCTTCGATGGAAGCGTCAGCCAATCAAATCATATGCCAGTTCAAGCTCTAGCCAATGAAAACCGCGTGCTTGTGTGTCCGGGGCGGGAGATTCATGCGATTGGTTGTTGGTCGAGCTTCAGACACGCCCGCCGGCAAGCTTCAACGCACGCCGCTGTGTGGACGCTGCGTTATAAGCAACTTCAAATGGTCCTAAAAGCTAAAAGAGGGTCGTTTTTCGCTTAGGAAAGTTGGAGGACGTTGAGATTTATTTGTTTTTGCACACCATTCACAACAACCTATGTAACACACTACAGGAAAGACAAGACCCCACAAAGCAGAATAGGGCCTCTTTTGATACATTCATCATGAACATGATAACTGCATGATTGTTCCTCAGCGTAACATCACCTCGACGGTGTGTTTGAGTGCTCAGAGAAAGCAGAGTAATTCACACGTTCGCCCGCTGTTCTCCTCCAGTGTGCGGCTTTGATTCCCAGCAGTAAGTCAGCCATGAGACGTTCCCTCCATTATACATGATTATTTTAATGACGCTGGTGTTCTGCTGCTTTCATCTCTCTCTCCTCTCTTTCATCCTCTCATCTCGGCCTCTTTTTGTTCCGCATCTTCGCCTCTCATCTCCTCCTCGCTCTCACAGGAGTATAGGAATACCTTGCACTAGTGTTTGTGTCTCCAGTGTTAGCGCTAGCGGCTAACGCTGTGTCCTGAACTGAGGATGGACATCTGATCGTCCAGTCATTCATTGTTTTCCTGTATATTGATCTACACTGGTTGTTGTGTAGTGCTGAAACGGAGCAGATCAGATCGATGAACAGACCTTTTGGACCTAATTATATTTCCCCCCCCGCCCCCTATTGAAACAATCCAAAGACAGAAAGTAAAAACCAACATGAACCCGATCCCCTCTGAAAACAATGACCTAAAAACGTATTTATTTGGATTTTCTTGGCATTCAAATCTAAATCTACGCACGTTTTTTGAGCTTCATTCAATCAAATTGAGGTTTACAGATATTGGATTGAGACACACCTGATCTCAACGTGTTAAAGTGTTTCTTCCACCGGCTTAATTGGCATCCGTCGACCACTCAGCTGCAAACTGACGAGCCATAACCAACAGAGACGCATCCAACCACTGTACGTGTTGTCTTTTCACCACATAGGAGACAATAACAATATGAAGCAGATTTTCTGAGCAGCTGAGCATGGAAGTGAAGAGCATGCATGTGTCCATACTTCACATACGCAACACTCTGTATTAATAATACAATATATTGAAGTTTCACAGAGAACAGATGCAGAGGGCTGACAGGGAGATAAACCATGTGCCTCATTATTTACACTCTTTAAAATAATTATATTTCTCTCTAGATGATAAAACAAGGTATCAAACTTCCCGACTGCATAATTTCTAGTCCTGGAGAGTTGATTTAACGTACACTAAAACCTCCCAGAGGAGTCTCATTAATCAAGAGTTCATTCAGCAGCATGGATCAGGTTAGCAGGAGGAATCCATCACTCGGTGTCAAGAGGACAATAGCACCAATAGGCCCATTATCAGTTGGTTTTCTCATCCTCAATATGTCCAATACAGAGCTGCTCAGAGCAGAACGGATGAGGATAATTATGGGTAAAAGGACAAAAGGGCCCCCAGGAGGGCGGTCCCTCTGAAGGAGACTTTGTGCAGTCGATCACTATTGATCCAACTGAATAACAGGATTACCATCAGATTAATTAATTAAAGGATTAATGAAAGTCTTATTCTCGCAGGATCCCGCGACACTTGAGCTTTTACTGAACGCTGGATGCTTTCACTTAGCAGTCGTGGTGTAAAATCTCTTTGAATCTGATGCTCCAAGGACACTCGGAGCACACTCTTCTCCCCGAGCGACGCGACACACAACATCACAACATCACAACATCACAACATCACAACATCACAACCTCCTCCACAAACTCAGCAGGCGACAGAAGGGCAAACTGAGTCGCTCTGATACCAAAACGTGTCTCTGTGATGCTCAGTTAGAGAGCAGGGTGCACGCTAACCACAAGTCAGTAGATTCAACACTAAACCGTTGACTCCAGTAGATTTCATCACGTTCATTGCCGTTTACATATGTAGGAAAAACCACAGTCTGTGAGGAAAGGGACACATTTTTGATGGCGTTTTGCACAAAATAGGGCTGCACGATTATTAGAAATGTTATTGAAATATGTCGCAAATATTCCAATCGTGTTCAAATGCTATTTTAAATAAAGTATAGTGATACTGCAGCAGTTTCCCAGCATACATTTCACCCATTATATGTTCAAAATTGATACGATCTTAACTTTAAGTGACTTTTTGTCCTCTAATGTGCGAGCCAAAGCGACGGGGGCGTGTCAGCTCTCCATCACAGCTTTTCTGCAGCCTCACGTCACTCTTAAATGGGAACTTATTTCATGCAGCTGTGCAGCCACTATAATAACTGATCACTGCATTTTGTATGAGAACCGTAACCACGCATTACAAGCTGCAATTTAAAGCTGAAAATCAGTCCACATACAGGACTAATACAGCAGCCGATTGCTATTCAAGCCTCCTGCTGCAGGTGCAGTAACGGAGTCTGAAATACTGAGAATAAGATGATGTTAGCGTCAGGAGGTTGAATATAAACAAAAGTATCATGCCATCCATCTGAGGCCCTGATCTTTAAAATGATGTAATGGGCTGAAAGGCTGTCTGTCATTCTTAAATCTTTGCAGCTCCTGACAACGCTACAGATTGTTATCAAAGTCTCAGTCAGAGCAGAAAAGATGGTCTGCTTTCACCGGGACAATAACTGTCTGATCCCGCTGGATATTTATCATGACGTTTCTTTGTTGCGTGAAATAAAGGCTTTGAAATTCACACAGCAAGGATCTGTGTTGGAAGTAATACTGGAGTCAGGAAAAAAAGCCATTTTCAAGTAGAAATGACCAAACTTCTGTGGGTTAAGCATCTCTGTTTGAAGCTTTTGTCTTATATCAAAGTAAAATGGACATCTTTTATCATCCATTACAATAATTGATAAACGATTTACCCATGGACCAAATGATGTGACAGATATATACTATATGTATCATATAGTAGTTCAAATGTGAGATGCATTGCTTAATTGCAGTATGTTCAAAACTGTGCTGCCAGGGTACTCACACATACAAAGCCGTGGCAGCACATCACTCCCACCCTCATCCACCTCCACTGGCTGCCGGTCGAGTCCCGCATATCCTACAAAGTCCTCCTACTCACCTACAAGTCCCTCCATGCCCATGCCCCCCAGTACTTATCGGACCTCCTTCACCCACATGCCCCACCCCGGAACCTGCGGTCTTCAGACTCTGGCCTGCTTACCACCCCCCGCACCAACCGTCGAACCTTCGGGGACAGAGCCTTCAGTGTGGCAGCCCCCACCCTCTGGACATCCCCATGCTTGACGCCTACAAAAGGCCCCTCAAGTCCCACCTGTTTGCTAAGGCCTTTGGCCCCTAACCTATCTGTTGTTTCATCTGTCTGACTGTTTGTCTGACTGCCTTTTGTTTTGTTATGTTTGTTCCTACTCCTGTTCTTCTTTGTAAAGCGACCGTGGGTCTCATGAAAGGCGCTAGATAAATCCAAGCTATTATTATTATGAATTGAACTTCTATCCACTTTCATTTCATTTGCTGATTCTCTCGTTGTTGTTGTTTACAAGGTAATGTGGGATTGTCTTTAAAAACAGGCGAACAAGAAAGGTTCTGCAACTAGAAATTGTCCTACTTTCTACCTGCTCTACTTCAAAGCACTGCTGCAATTATTAGAGGAACAATGCACTGCATGCTGTCACACACTTCACTATAAACACGTCCCAACAATACCACAAGGGAAACGAGTGAAGCACACACCAGCTTTTAAGAGAATATGGGGTTTAGGCGGAATGAGAGCAATGCAGTGATTCCTCAAAGTGTTTGCACAGAAGAGCAACCTATTCTCCAATTTGAGCAGGAGTAGTAAGAACATAGTTAGCGTGCAGACCCCCAGAACACTTCAATTTTTAAAAAGCAAAGCCATGTGGAAACCCCACAGAGAGAGAAGTGAGTTCAGCTTTTCAGGAAAGATGAGAAGATAATTGCAGTTACAAACTCCCAACTCCTGAAATTAACGGAGGAATCCATTGCTTCCTTTCCTACTAACAATATGGATTGATCTACAAACTATTTAGACATAATTTAAAACCAAAACACATCCGATTTGCAATGATACAACCTAAAGAATGCCTCACATTAGGGGAAGAATGTTCGAAAATGTTAACGTTTTTTTTACAATTTCTGCATAAAAACAATGATAATTTTTTTTTGGATTATCTCTGTCATTCCACTAATTGATTGATCAAGTATAATATAATATAGTCTGATGCATAAGTGGCAATATGACACATTCAGAAAAGTGTCAATGCTTTCTTTGCATTGGCCTAAAAGCCCGGGGGCCATGTTTGCTTTAAATGATTTTATAACCAAAAGTACCTTAATGGAGAAAGAGGGTAGCAAATAGATTCCCATAACTGATCATATATTTGATCAAAGTATGCGATGAGTAACTTACTCTACATTTTAAACAATATATGTCTAAATGGGTTTGCTTAGTAAGTCTGTGTAGTAAAAGCTTGGTCAATTTGTGGTTAATAATAGCAGCTTCGTGTCCTGCCTTTTTTTTTATTGGTGTGGTGAATATTTCATGGGTACAGTGGGGGGCTGGAGCCTTTCCCAGCATGCACCAGGAGAAAAAAAAAAACCCTGCCCAGGTTGTCAGTTCTCAAACACATCTTGGGAGCTCACCTATCCTGCATTTCATTGTTTCAAAGAGCAGGACATCCATGTAAAAACGAGGGGGAAATAAAAAGCACATTCTTGGACTGCCTTCAGAGTGTGGAATCTGTGGGGTCGTGCCAATCTCTCTCTCTCTCACCACAAACAATTTTAATCAAGCGCTGTTTTATAATCCTGCACATCCACACAACCAATCTATCTGTGTGTATCGGTGCAGATTATCCTACTGTACACAGTATCTCATTCAGTTCTGGGACAGTATCGCCATGCCTGTTATGTAAAATCTTCTCTGCTTTGTCTCCCCTGCACACCATAATACTTCCATTTCATCTCAGACAAAAGGCTGTAGATGATGTTAACTGTAGCTGCCACCTTAAATCTCCACTACAGTGTCCCTTAAAGCCTCCACTGTTCCAGGTGGAGCACAAAGAAGCAGCGCTGCCTCTGCATCCCTCCAGGATTACATAACCTCCTCGGCCCTTCATTGCTGATGGAAAAACATTCACAGGTACAAACTGTGGGCTGGCAGAAAGGTATATTTATGGTCAAACTCTCAGTGTAATCACTCGTGAAACACTGATGTTCAGAGGCTGAGAATAAGCCTGCACAGAAAAGAGATATCAGGAGATCTGCATCGCCTCTTTATTCTATGTCAGTCCACTCTACACTGCACCGGCCCTTCGCTTTAACAACGTAAACACCCCAGCTGTGGGACAAATAAAGGATATATGATGCTGTTTCTGAATACTTCTATGCAAGTCATTCATTCAATGCACTACTGTTTCCAAAACACCACCACCCATAAGCATCCAAAACAAGCCTCCTCTGGGTATTAAATGGTGACCTATGAACCCTCAGCAGCAACATCACCTACATGCTGTCAAAAAGCAACATTTTTAGCAAACCTAATGGCCTCAAAAGGATTTAAAGGCTTATGTTCTACATGCACAGCAGCTACAGGGTAGTTTAGGCATGGATACATGTGAGTCTCAGGCTCCTGCAGGAATGCAACATACACAATAAGACAGAAAACAGGGAAGAGTCCTGCACCAAACTGCATGTCAGAAACACCAGCACATAGTTCCTGATCAGCATGTTTACAGTTTCCATCCCACAGCAGCAGCACACCCCTCTCACTGTGTTTATATCCCAGCATGCTCTGAACACTTCCCCCTGCTTCATGCATTCACCCTCACACCTTGGTCAGCTGGGCTATCTTCTTGCTCATCTTCAGATGCAGGTCCTGCGTGTAATCCAGCGTCAAACTCCCGTCGTAAAACATGCTGGCTGTGGGAGAGGGGGAGTATTTGGAGCTGCTAGTCGAGGTGCTGTACGGAGGCTGCCAGCCTGCCCCCGTCGCCATTTTTGCAGGGAATAAAAAAACCCAAAAAGCGACGCTGTGAATGTGTGCGTAAAATGGAGCTATGCGTAAAATCCCTTCATTGTTGTGTTTGTGGATAATCTTCCAGGTTCGTGGAGAGACGGGGAGCAGGGACGGCGAGGCGCGGCACCGTCCCGTCCGTCACACGCATGAGCAGCGGGAGCGAGCGCTGGGAATGATTAGAGAGGCGGGGACGCGCACCAGATGCTCAGCCAATGGCAGGTTCAAGTGGATGTAATCGGATGTAATGCTCATAATGCTGCTGGAGGACTGTGGTGGAAAGTAACCAAGTACATTTACTTAGAGATACTGTCCTCAAGTACACATTTAAGGTACTTGTACTTTACCCAAGTATTTTCATTTTGTACCACTTTATACTTCGACTTCACTACATTTTGGAAGCCAATTTTGTACGTTTTACTCAGACTGGTTTTACTCCATTACATTTGTTTGACAAAATGTGTAACTAGCTACTTCACATTGTTAACAAAAACAACATATACATAAACTATTATATATAATTATAGTTTAAGATATCCATCTGCAGTATGAATAGAGTATTACGTACAGATAGTCTGCAATACAAAGGATATTTTTGCTTTCTGTGGGAATGCTCTTGATTCAGATGTTGTAGCATTACATCACTCTGGAGACACTGAAGCTGGGAACAATCCTGCACTGACACCTGCTGGTGATGTGCATGAACTGCAAGATTATACTAAAGGATCAGTTCATCCAAACAGTCGTAAAACAAGTGCAGAAATGCAGGGCTTGTTGCATATTACAGATTGCTAAAACACACCTAATACAACTGGGGTCCACTTCATCAACACCTTCACAGTTTTTACTCCCTATTTTTAAAACAGCTAGCCAAGATCTCATGTTATGACCCACAACTCTTGGATTAACTGTGAGATCATTCTGCATGTGCTCGCTCTAACGATTAAGGATTGATTTCCAAATTGTGAATGAAGGTCCCTGATTAACAACACCAGTTTGCATCAGGGGGGACCCAACACATATTTGTTTTAAACGTTCCTCCCCTGGCTATAACTACTAAGCCTACAGTTCCAGTTTTTGACAAAGTAATTTCATGTAGCTTTATTGTTATGTTTATAAAGTAACATAAATAACTCTAGAAGAGATTAGAGAAAAGACTAAACTAATGTACCTCCTAATTGAGTTCAATGTTTACATCACCAGTACTTATCTATCCAGGGGCGCGGGAACGGGGGTGCTCACTAAAAACGCTAAATCTGCTAAAAAGAAGATGCAGGGCATTATTACGCAGAATCTGTGTAATATGTAGCCAGGAATTAGCAATGCCTTGATAGCCTACTTCAATGAATGTCAATTCCACATTATTGGTAAAATAATATTTTACATCTTAATAGTGTGTGCTCGCGCTTTTGTGCGCGCTCTATAGTGCCCGTAATAGCGTGCACTGGAGTCCATTGTTATGCACTGTGTGTGGTTTTGCTCGGTGTATGTCAACGTCACCCCCCGTGCGTAATTAGCACATCAGACAGCACTTCAGCACCCCCACTCAAAATACCTTCCCGCGCCTCGGTAGCCTATCTATCCTTTTCCAGCTGCTCACCTATCCTATCTTGTACCTCTATTTCTGACCTATTTTGTAACTATTTATTCTACTTTTGACCTATTTTATTACGTGTTTGGTTAAAGCACTTTAAAATGACTGTGCATCACGAGGATTCGAACACACAACCTCAGGACATTAATGTTTCGTAGAGCTTATGACCTGCTCATTTGGACCTTAAAGATGTTGATTCAAAGAACAGATCACAACACAATAAGATTCATGAAATGTAAATACCGTCAACAACTTTAGAACGACTCTTTTATTTTTGAAAAAGAAATGTTTTAAGTCACTTGTAGCTTTGCCTTAAACACAATCGCCTCCAATTTCATGTATTTTTCTTTTTATAAATTAGAATGGTATATTATGCATGCAATACCGCATTAGCCGCTTAGGGTTTCATCTTCCACAGAAAAAAAACCAAACACAAAAATCCCTTAGAAGTCCAGATGGAGCTGCTTGAGAAGGGTGGAGAAGCCACATGAAGCGATGTACACAGTTTGCGGTTGCATAGTACAGTACATGAAGTTCCTCATTTTAAAACAGCATGCCGTTTCGTATTGCACATTACTGAAACTTTGTATACTGGACCTTGCTGTTCCACGTGGGTCATCGTCGTCTCATTTCAGCACATGTATACAGCGAATAGCATCTCTCAAAGACATTATGTACACTTGTTATAAAAATAATCGCCAGCAAATATTCATCTATTACTGTTCTACTGGAATAAATATGTTCTTTTGTTTTTTCCTATTTTGTTTTACACTTTCCCTCCTTTAAGTTCTGTGTTTTGTGAGGTTTTATCCATGGGAAATAAAATGTGTAATGCATTACTTTTGGAGACAATAGGCCGTTAGTAAAGTAAAAATAAATCCAGGACAGACTTCCCTTTATTGGTCTGTAAGAGAGCGTTATTGTTGTTCGGATCTAATTCTACAACATCATTCACAAAGACTTGAATCCCTTCTGATTGTCTCAAGCAGCCCAGCTCAACATTGGGTTGATTTGAATGGAAAATGGATCCCTGTTCAATCAACCAATGGGATCCATGCTACGGGGCAGAATGAGACATTCACAGTACACGTTCTTTTTCATTTGCAGTCTTCATGTTTCAGTCCATGAACCAAACACTGAAGGAGATTCACGGGGAAAATGGGCAAAGAAAACAACTTGTAAATAATCTATGCCCTTACACCAGATTCACATTGTTTTTTGCTTAATCCTTTGTGCTATAAAAGTGTTATCCCTTTCATCTAGATCTATACAAAGTGATATATTAAGAGAAAATACCATACACATTTAAATCAATGCATTATTTCGAGATGCTTTGCACCATGGGAAAACATTTGCTCAGTATTTAACATCAGGGCAGACTTTAGAGAAGTAGCTTTGCTAATTACAGTCGTCTTTTTCAAATTAAATGTCTATTATATAAGTCAGAATTAACTTTCGCATACAGACTTGCCTCACAGAATAACAGTAAAAGTAATTACTCTTATCAAATCAAACATTGTCACGCCTTGCTAGCGGCCGTAGTTTCTCAAATCTTAACAATTTAAATAACACTCTGTATAGTGTTAGAGAAATCCTTAAAGCTAATTCAACTATAGGGAATGATCACTATACTGAACATCATATTTCTCAGAAGGAAAGCGCTCTCGATGTTTAAGAGAAGCTTCAACACTTTGTCTAAACGTGCTAAAGAACTCTTTTGTGGGCTGTTAAACTGTGCAATCATGGATCATTATTCGGTAAGGTGTCTTAAGACGATGCCAAATATTGTACGGAAACGGCAGGGCATCAAAAAAGTCCCATCTCCACATGACAACTTTTGTTAGCTTATTTCTTTCAAAAAGGTGGAAGGAGTATGGAAGACCTTTGTTCTGTGATATTAAGACAAAAAACATCTATTTCATGTTCACTTGTGTCTGTTTTCAGGCTGAAACTCTGCCAGCTAGCTCTCTGTGTGATCTGGAGATGAGATAATAGATGTGTAATCACAATCTGATGATGTAAAGATAATAACAACCACAGCAGCTCTCTGTTTGCAGACACAAAGCATTGTGGGTAGGGTTCATCTTGTCCATGTTATCTTTAACAAACGTTACTTTCTACCTGCTAACGTGATCCTGAATTATTAGAAACTCTCATCACAATGGCGCCTCCATTTTTGAGTCATGCAATCCCTCTTAAACTCTCCGTGACATAAAGCCGTGCTTTCCGTTTCAGGGTTATCACTCATCTGTCATTTGGGCCATCTTTTTATTTTATTTTCTTGTTTTTTTTTTTGAGAGATGTGCCGTATACTTCTACAAACATCAACTTGCTTACAGTAGGGTTTTATTTAACGTGTGGAGGGAACATGCTCTGCAGTCAGGACAACATGCCAGCTACACAGAGAATGAACATGATGCAACCGATCCTGCCATGTCACATTTTTAATACCCTAAAAAGAAACTACAGGAAGGAACTTCAATGCTTCAATCACCATCTGAACTTTAGTTTTAACGACTTTGATTCAATGCTAATAAATGCTAAATGAACTGTAGTGTGGGCAGCAGATGCTCTTTTAGTCTATCAAACAACTAAAAAGGTGCTTTTCTTCGGGTCCACATCTCAACCTCATCTCAAGTGGTATTTTGCTATTGTGTTTTACTTTACTATCTGACATCTATTGCCTGAAGCCTCGTCCTACAGTGTGATCAGATTCTGCTGGGACACTGAGGGGTTTCCACCCAAAAGAAAATCCTAAAAGCTATGCTACAGAAAAGCTGGCCTTGCTCGAAGTGACTCTCAAATAGCAAAATAGTTTGGGAATGTGAAGCACCAGTTTTTCAAAAACTAGCAGCCCGATATCATCTGCACACAAACCCCCACCACCGTTACTCCTGTCCGCACAAATCAGGTGATTTAGAAAATTGGACCTCCGTATCTACACCTCATTATAAGAGAATCCAGAATGCTAGGTACAAAAGATCAATGAAGTGGATGCGGATCATCTATCAGCATGCATTAAGCTAAATGGAGAGGATTTATACACGGCCCAGGGTTTGGGTCAGCAGCCTTTCAGCAGTCTGTGTGCGGCGGACTTTCCTCCGACAAGGCGCCAAGTCCCGGGCCTTTTGAAGCCATCACAATCTGACATCTGACCCCTGACCCCCGACCACAACGAGCTCCATCTGCGCTGCTGAGCTCTGTTAGCACAATCCCAAAAGGAATTCATTTGACAGCATTACTAACAGGGTGGCATCCTGCAGCTCTTCACTACTGTTGATTGACGGGGGTTTGCCCTGGCAGCTTGATTTTTAAAAACAAAACACCTGATTCTGTTGGATTTTTTTTTTTTAAAGAAGAGAGAAAATAGCCAGGTAGACGAAAACAA